TACATATCCCAGTCCCTTCTGGCCTGCAAAGTTTCTGCTAAAATAATCTGATAATTTTGTGTGTGTTCTCTTGTATATAACAAGTTGTTTTTCTCTTGCTGCTTTTAAGATTTTCTCCTTGTCTTTATCTTGTGACAGTTTAATTATAATGTGTCTCAGCGTGAGTCTCTTTGTATTCATCCTTTTTGAAAATCTGGGCTTCCTGGATCTGGATGCCTGTTTCTTTCTCCAGGTTAGGGAAGTTTCAGCCATTATTTCTTTGAATCAGCTTTCTGCCCTTTCTCCTTCTCTTCTTCTGGCACCCCTCTAAATGTGTATATTGGTGTGTTTGATAGTGTCCCATAAATAAAGTTCTCTTCAATCTTTTGTCTTTTGCTCCTATGATTAGATGAATTCTACTGCCTTATCTCAAGTTTATGGATCTTTATGATTGATCTAGTCTGCTGTTGAAACCCTCTATTGAATTTTTCAGTTCACTTATTATACTCTTCAGCCTTGTGATCTGATTGGTACTTTTTAATATTTTCTATCTCTTTGTTGAAATTCTCACTTTGTTCATGCAAATGATGATGGAGCAAAGATGCCCCTGACCACAGTGAGCATCTTTATGTCTGTTAGTTGAAGTCTGTTAGATAACTTACTAACCTCTGTTTTATTAAGATCTGTGTCTGGAGTTTTATCTTGGTCTCTAGTTTGGAATATATTCTTCTGTTTCTTCATTTTCCTTGACTCTGTGTTTGTTTTTGCATATTAGATAAAGCAGTCTCCTCTCCCAGTCTTGCTAGAGTGGTCTTGTATAGGAGATGAACCTTATCTGTCAGGCTGGCTCATGCTCCTGTAACCTTTGTGATTGTCCAAGCCACCTTTTTTGTTCCTAGTACCTCCCAGTAGTTGAAGGTGTGCCAACTTGACAGGGTTCCAAAGGAAATGATCACAGCACCTACATGAAGGCTGGTTGGTAGCTGGGCCCTCAGGCAGCAGCTGGGAAAGTATGTAGATAGGCATCTTCCAGAGAGAAATGGGAGCTGGGTGTTTTTGCCTACTCCCTCTGCACTGGGCCCAGGTGTATAGCTTTGTGGCCAGGGTGTGTTCTTGAGCCTTTTAAGAACTTCTTTGTTTGCTACATGAATGTAAGTCCTGTTTGCTATCAGAGCCAATCAATTTGGGTGCCTGCCCCTGAGGTGGCAGCCACAAAAGCTGGGGCACAGATATGTATACAAGTTCCTTCCAGGGAGATAACTAGCAACCTGGAGCAGGCTAGAAAAAGAGGGAGGAAGAGGTGTCTGCGGGCTTCCCTGGTCTTCAGAGAGGATCAGGGAATCAGGCCCTAGGTTCATAGTACATTCGAAGGCTGACCCTCAGGCAGAAGCTTCTGAAGTATGCAAAGAGACCCCTTTCAGGGAAAGACCGGGAGACTGGGCATTTCTGTTTGCTCCTTCTATGCTGATCCCTGGGGGGATGGCCAGTTTAAAACCGCCTCTCTTTTCTATAGTCCTATGGGACTTGTAAATGGAAGCACTGGTGACTGTCGGAGCCAGGTGACCTGGGGGCCCATCAGCTACCAGCAGCCACAAAGGCTGGGGTGCAGACTTGTGTACAAGTTTCTTTCAGGGAGATTCTGGCAACTTGGAGCAGGTCAGAGAGAGAGGACAGCGGTGGTGTCCACTGGCTCCCCTGGTCTTTGGGGAGGATGGCAGTCAGCTTCTAGATATGGGCTCAATTAGAAGCCTGACCCTCAGGCAGCAGCTTTTAAAGTATCCAAGTAGACCCCATTCAGGGAAAGACTGGGAGGTGAGCGTTTTTTCCCTGCTCCCTCTGCACTGACCCCGAGGTAATGGCTGAAGTGAGTGCTTGTGCCCTTTAACAACTGCTTTTTCTTTTGCTATAGTCTGTGGATCTCATGGACGCAAACCCCATTGGCTTTCAGAGCTAGGTGTTTGGAGGCCCACCCCTCGGGTAGGAGTCTTAAAACCTGGGGGTTGTAGATGTGGGGTCCAAACCCTTCACCCCTCAAGGAGAAGCTGGCATTCGGGGATTTCATTCCACAAACTGTACAGTCTGTGCCAGGGCTGGGGTTTATGGCAACAGCACGTCTCAGCCTTTCCTACTCATACATAGGAAAGACATAGGTGTTTTCTTGGTCCTTCATTGTATAAGAGGTCCTTAGCCAGTTTGCGTTTCTTTCAGAGGGAGTTGCTCTGTGTGTAGCTGTTCACTAGGTGTGTCCGTTGGAGGAGGGGGCGTCCAGGAGCCTTCTGTATCACCATCTTTAAACACAGCTTCAATACTTTCTAAACTGTTTTGTTTTTTCCTGGGATGGATAAATCTGAGCATGGCTGGAGGATAAAGGGCAGGATTCCCCAAGGAAGAAAAGATTTATGATAAAAGAGGGAGCATTGGTGGAGCCAGGTTTTGAGAGGAGCGATATGAACTCAGGATAACAGGGCAGGGGTTTGACCCTGGATGTGGCCCAGAGGGATGAGCCTTCCTTTGAGTTGGAAGGGAGGAGAGAAGGGGGGCAAACTAGACAGTGTGAGTGACAAGCTAGTATGGATGAAGAATGTTCTCTGCCATATCAGTAAACAAAGGATGTTGTGGCCATCAAGCTAGCAGCCACTGCAGCGGCCCTGACTGTGCACCCTGAGGGGGTTCAGGATGGACATTGGCCCTAGCTAGTTAAGGTGCATATCAAAGGAATGACTTCAATAAGCCCAGACTCTTGCATCTTCCCATATGCAGAAAATTCGTTAACTTGCGATGTCTGTTTTGTTCTTTAATTAACCGCCATCTTTCAGTGTTCTATCTGGTTGTGTTTTGCTTTCTTTCTGCAAAAGCTCCTGCATACGCTGGCTCCTCGCTCACCTCTTCAGAGCGACCTGAGTGGCACCTCCCGGGCTGAAGTCCTCAGTGTGTCCACCGAGTAAAACACAATTCTCAACCTTTAGGTTGTGCTTTTCTTTTTCTTTTTTTTTTTTGCGGTACGCGGGCCTCTCACTGCTATGGCCTCTCCCGTTGCACAGCACAGGCTCTGGACGCGCAGGCTCAGCGGCCATGGCTCACGGGCCCAGCCGCTCCGCGGCATGTAGGATCTTCCCGGACCGGGACACGAACACGTGTCCCCTGCATCGGCAGGCGGACTCTCAACCACTGCGCCACCCGGGAAGCCCTAGATTGTGCATTTTTTAATTCGATGCTAGGAAGGTGAGCAAACACACTTCTGATGGACTATATTTTCTTGGTAAATTTGAAGGAACAACCCACTACTGAATGTGAAAGAAAAGGAGGTAGTTCAGAAGTAAGGAAACAGAAAGGAGCTGGAATGTTGTATGGCAATTGGACAAGAAAATTACATGGAATCCCACCAAACACTCTTATTTCTGACATGCATTGGGCCTTTCTGGTGAGTATTTATCAATATAATATAGATGATTATTGTGAGTAATATTATTGAGTACGTGTGGGGTGTCAGGTATCACGCTAAGCATCTGTATGAGTAATTTCAGGCCTCCTCACAGCCTTTACAGTAGGAGTGATAATCCCCATTCTACAGGTGAGCACGTGCAAAGAGAAAAGAAGATAGGGTTGGAGGTTTGACTGGCCACCTGTCCTAGTTGTGTACACTGGGCAAGCTAATCTCTTGAAGCCCCAGATTCCTCTTGGAAAATGGCGATCAGAATCACTATGTATGAAATTATTAGGAATATTAAGTGAGATGTGTGTGCAAGAGCCTAAAGCATTCTGGGTACTTAGTTGTTTTTTTTTTTAAACCATCATAGAATGTGGGCGTTGCTGAGCCAACAGCTTGATCCATAGTCGTTGTGATTGGATTTTGCGTTCTCTCTCCCCAAAGGAAGGTGAGGATTTGCACCACAGAAGTGGGAATCCCTGTTAACTTCTGCTGCCAGGCAGGTACCACAAATGCGTGATGTGTTAAAAAAACAAAAACAAAAACAAAACCCAAACGGGGGTGGGTGCGATAGTAGCAGAGACAGTGGCCTGAACCGTAGTCCAGTGAAGGTTGACATTCAAACACAGAAACCTCATCCCCAAATGAGGTGTGGCCCACATGCCACCAGTTTGTAACTCCTGGGGACCCTGGTTTAAAGATGCTAGATTCTATCAGCCTCTTGCTTATTATGTAACTTTGGCAAAGTCACTTAGCCTCCTTGAACCGCCGAGTGGAACTAAACCATGGCCCACAGCTCAGAGATACTGCTACAACAGGTCGGCCAATGTGTGTCAAGTTCTGAGCAATTCTTGGGTTTTTCTTGCATGAACAATTCCTACTAGTACAACGAGCGGGTGGCGAGGGCTGCCGTAAGATGACGACGGAGCAGATAATGGGGACCTGGGAGTTCCTGTTGGCACAGATCCTAATGTACTTTTGAAGGCATTGATTAATGAAGCTGTGTGTCCCTCGTGAGGTGAGGTCAGGATAACACTGCTTGTCTGCAGGTGTGTTGAGAGATGGGAACCTGGGGAGAGACAGGGTTAGCCTCATCCCAACGGGGAAAGCAGGGGAGGCTTCAGCTCAATCTCCTAAATGCCTCAGGTGTGACCCACAGATGCTTCCCCCAGAGGATCTAAATGGGCTTTTCAGGCCAAAGCTGGAAATCCTGCAGGGCCCCTGCTCCAAAAGAAACACGCATCGCTTTACTGCTGTGGCTGACCTATTGCTCACGTTTATTGAGAAGGCAGAACATAATGCATCCGAAGAGATCCAGCTTCCACAGTTCTCCAAACGCTGGCTGTAAATCACTGTTAGGCTTGTCATTCCCTTGGGTGGCAGCAAAACGGCTGTAATGAAACGTCCCTGGGAAGAATAAACCACAAGATGTGCCTTCTATTGTACCAGACCATGAAGATTACAGCTGATAAAGTGCTGGCAGAAGCTTAGCAGTAAAGAGCCCTTGAGCAAAAGTCCCCATGCTGTGCAGTCCAGGGCGTTGACTTCTCCTCTGAGGCCATCGCCTACCATCGAGACCCAAGTGTCACAAGGCTCATGCCCCAGGCGCGCTGCCAGAGCAAGAAGGACATGGTTTTTCTAAAGGCAGGGGATGGAAATCTGACCCTAACTGCCATTTCCAATGGAGAGGACGGCACTGTCGGGCCCTCCTCTATCTAGGGTGGTAAAGGGGCAGCTTCTACCTAAAATAGCAGGGAAGGGACACTGGTTGGTTTGGAGAACCATCATCAGAAGATAACCAAGGGACGGGCACTTCTTAGTCACACAGCTGGGACGCGATCACAAGTGGCTAAGTGAAGGGCTCAAGTGTTTGTTAGGTATTGTGAATATCTTTTACTTGCAATACTCTCTCTAGAGGTTTCTTCCCAAAGAAGGTGAAGCGATCGTACAGAGGATCTAATGCAGTGAGAAGCGGGCTGACGTGCAAACACTACTCCCAGGGTCTGTCTGGACAGTCCAGGTGGGTGGAAAGCATTTGCATAAAGAAGCCAAGATCGGAATGCCCTCAACAAGCCCTTTTGGGAGCAGAGCCTGGAGAGCAACGAGGCAAGGTCCCCAGACCCCAGTAGGTAAGGAGGTGTCTTTGCACAACAGAAGTTCACAACATATTGGGTCAGCTCACCTCGAATGGCAAACAGTAAGTCAGACTTTAGCAGGGGCTGAGATGCTGTTCGAGCTCTTCCAACTTAGAAATGTGCTTTCATGCAACAGGACAGGACCATAAAGGCAAAATTCCCCTTTAGATTAAAGTGGCCCATGGGAAACCTCTGTAACTCTGGATAGCTGAGGTTGGAAATCAGGTATAATTCTTCTTAATTACCTGCCTCCTCTAGCTCCACTCCCTGACTTGTGATGAGCTCTGTAAGTCTTAACGACACCAGGAGATTCCATGACCTATCAATCATTCCTTCAAGCCAACGGTTGTCCTGCTGCTGAGTGCTGGGACCACACTGCCTTTCTTCGGAAATGGAGGCTGAAGCCCTTGAGTGCTGTACCTCTGGAGATTCTAAAATGTTCTTTCCCACTGCTGGCATCAGAACACTGGGTCTGGGACAAGGCCAGGGAAGGGCAGGAGGCCAGCAGCCAAGGAGATAGTAGACTTGCCCTGTAAACCAACTAGACGCTACCAAATGCACAGTAAAAATATCATCATCTACAAGAGTTCTTGAGCTATGTGCACGTCTAAACCCAGTGTCCTTTTCCACTCCCCGCGAGAGGCCTCAGCGGGTACCAGGTGAGGCCAAGGCTGCATCCCTGCTACCCACGCAGGTAGGCGGCACCCGCGGGCTCGCGGCCCAGCGCGTTGATGTGC